GGAAGGTGCCATCACATCAAAATAATTTCCCCCTCATTCCCCAATCAGCCAGAAATAATTTATAGTAACCCTATGCGCAAAAAAAAAAAAAGCATGATCAAAACAATCAAGATCGATTAACCTGAGTTGACTAGATTAAAGGTTTGTATTGGGTAAACAAACAAACAAAAAACAGTTGAAATGTATGTTTCAATCTAAGATTTGCAAAAACACTTTAAAAATATCTTATCTAACCACCTCTCCTTCTGAACAGTCTCTCTTCTCTTGGCTTCAATGACAATGCTCTCCCATCTGTTTAATAACTGGTTTTTAAGCTTCATTTGATTGTTCATCATCTTTCTCCTGCTACCTGACATCTAGGGTTTCCCAGGTTTCTGTCCTGAGCCCATCTTTCTGTTGGACATGCATATGTCATAGGCTTTTTCGTCCCTTTTCCCAAAAACAGATGAACTCTTTCCCCCTCCTCTTCTGTCTGTTCTCCCCTTTGGTATTATTTCTTCCCCTCCCCTCCTTTCTCCTCCAGTCTCTCTCCCCCCCCTCCTCTATTTCAGCTCTTTAGTATGGTGGAAGAAGGGAAGATCCTTTCCCTCTTCTCTTTATGACACATTTCTCTTTGCCCTCTCTCAGAGGATTGAAATAAGATCAGCAATCACAAAACAACTTATAAGTAGGAGAAAATTCTCATCCTAATACAAGAACCTCTAAGCGATGGTCCCATTTCTGTTGTACAGAAATTTTGTCCTACTGAATGTTTGAAATAGTCCATTGGCTGACACTTGAAAATGTTATAAAAAGGCTTTTTTTTGTAATACTATCCAACCTGTATAAATATATTAGCATTATTTAATTCAAGTTCAAAAATTATGCCCTAAATATGTATTTTGCTCACCATTTTTCTATTCCATATATAAAGCGGGGGAAGGAAAAAGGAAATTAGTTTCTCTTTTCTTTTAAAAAGTTGCTTATTTTTGAGTCTCATCTTTGCTCTCAGTCCAGTAATTATTTATGGTCTCATTGCTTTCTAGATTTTTAATGAAAGTGTGAAGCATCTTAAGGACGTTGAAAGCAAAGCAGACAATTGTAACATTTGTACTGAAAGATTCTACTGATTGATTCTAAGATATCTATCTTCATGCAAACCTTGAAATCACCCCCTACCCCAACCCCCAAGGTTTTTCAAGATGTTTATGCAGTCGTGTTTAATGTATTCAATGTTGTTAGTAGAATTTCAAGACATTTTTACTTCAAACTCGCAGGTGTGCAAAGGAAGTTCATCTCTTGTGTAACTTTTGGCCGTTTCTTTAGAAACTTGGATGGCAAGAGATTTCCTTTTATTTCAGCTTGTCTTCTGCCTTTTCTTTCAAATTAAGCCTTTTTTCTGCAAGTAGAGTGGAGAGGGGAGAGAATTGTATTTGTCTTTTATTTTAGTAATCATCTAGTCAACTCAACAGATATTAATTTTAAAACTATGTACCGGGCACTGTACTAGATGCTTAACAAAGTTTGGATAACAAGAATTCCTATTCTCTTTCAGCTGTTGTTATGGGGTGGGGGCAGTAGACACAGTGATTATACTTAAAAAAAAAAAAAAAAAAAAGCATGATATTTTCATCCCAGGAGTGCAAAAGAAAGTGTTCATTCTGAGAGGCTGAACTTGCTCCATGGCTGGGGGGGAGGGTCAGAGGAAGTTCTTTCCTGGGCGGGTGGGGGGAGGAGGAGGTTGAGAGAAGGTTTCCTGGAATAGTCGCGATTGGACTTTAAAGGATGGATTCAATCAACCAACAGAGACAGGAAACATCTTCCGAACTGGGAACAGTCTAAGTAAGGCTGGGAAGTGGGAAAATAGCCAGAGTGTAAGCATTATTAAAAAAAGACAAAGGTTAAAAGGTATTATATCAGTGATCAGGGACACCAGCATGTCAATCAAAAGGGTTTTTAGTAAGCTATGTTCCCTCTCGCCAAACCAAGTCTCCTGGTTTCTCGAATTATACCCGCAGAGTATCGAGGACATCTGATTAGCCTAAAGTCACATTAATTTACTCCTTGTTAATTAACAAATGGCTCTAATTCGGACAACAGTTTACCTTTGGGTAGTCTAGGAAACAGAGGCTTGCTATGCAAATCACTCTGTATTCTTAAACTGGAATCCCCAGGGAATTTTTAAACTGTTTCAAGAAGTCTATTTTAATTGTCTACATTGAGAAAAAAATGCTTTATGCAATTCCCGACCACCTACGTACTACGGATTGCAAGACTGATTGCAAATCATTCTTATACTTTCATTAAAGGAAGTAGCCCACAGACCTTATCTATGGCAGTACTCTGCCTTGTTCCTGTAGCTTCCCCGAAAGTAAGTCTCCTCTATTTCTTTGAAAGGGTGTGTTACTGAGTGTGTTTGTGTATATGTGTATGTGTGTGTGTGTGGGGGGGGGTATTGTGTAATTTTGCAGAAAAGAAAAAAAGCCTTTCCTCTCAAAATCCAGCTTTGAAGACTTACTGTGCGCCAGACCATTGAATAAAATGGGAAATGCCGGCGATATTGCCCCCTAGCCACTAGGAACTCATGTTACAAATAGCCTGGGGGTGAGGGGGAACAGTACGTGGCGACGTAAATGTGTTAATTTGGGTCACAGTCTACAAACACCTAATTCTATTTGAGGTTTTTCTGTTTGATTAAAGGAGTCAGTATCACTAAATCTTAGAATGTCTGGACTGGAAAGTACCTTAGAAGTAATCTAGGTTAATCCCCTCAATTGGCAGGCGAGGAACCTGAGGTCCAGAAAGAAGTGATTAGTCCAAGGTCACACAGCCTGGAGGGCAGCGACCAGAATGCTTATCTCCTGAGCTTTAAGCTGCACGTCGTTGGCACTAAACCAGGCTCCTCATTCGTTCAAAAAATATGTATTGAGTATCTACTGTATTCAAGCACTGTGCTAGGCATGTGCGGGGAAAATATTGACAAGTTTACAATTCGGAGGCAGGAGGTGGGGAGAGGAGGAAGAACTTAGTTCAAATCTGGACTCTTCAAGCTGCATGAGTTTGGGCACGTCACTCAAGTTCTCCTAGAATGTGCGCTTCTTGAAGGCAAGGGCTGTTTTTGTCTTTCTTCGCATGCCTAGAGCTTAGCACCGTGCCTGAAAAATAACAGGCGCTTAATGGAATTGGATTGATCGAACTCTATTTTCCTCGGGTGTAAAATGCAGTCGTGCATTCATTCAACAAGCATTTATGAAGCGTCTGTTGTGTACAGGGCAGAGTTCAGAGTTTAGCACAGTGCTTGGCACCATAACAGGTACTTAATAAACGCTGGTTGAGTTGACTGCTAGGCGCTTGGTATTCTGAGACCAAAGCGTGGACCAGCTGATTGACCAGGCGTCAGTCTGTGTATGAACCTGTAGAACAGAACAAAGGCGCCTGCGGTTGCTGGTGGACTTTTGGCAGACCCAGCCCGGCACTCTCTCCTCTTTTGGAAACTGGCAGGGCTGGGCGCTCTGCACGTGGTGTCTGGAACTGTGGGCTGGGGGCCCCCCACGTCCCCCCCCCACCCCCACGCACGCGTTCCCCACCTCTGGCCCCTTGCGCCCAGCTCTGGGAATGGCCTGGCTCGCTCCGCGGGGTCAGCTGAGGAGCCGGTGCCACTGCGCCTCCGCTTTCCCCGCCTGGCCTGGTGACTCGGGCTCCAGGAGCAGGCTCGGCCTTTAATTTTGCGGCTCTGACCGCCATAAGCAAAGCGCAGGAACGTTGAGATACGTGCAAGCTTGCCTCGAAGGTCCGCGCGCGAAGGTGGTGCACGGCTGTATATGTGCGCGCTGGGGCGTGCGCTAGCTGGTGACTCGGCCTCGTCGCCAGGCCCCCTCCCGCCCCCCTGCGCCCGGGGCAGGGACTGACTAGCTGCTTGCTCTCTGCTGGGGGCTCGCGGCTCGCCCACCCATTCCAAATTTAACCATTACCTAAATCCGAAGGGAAATGAGCAAACCTCTCGGATGGGGCGTCAAGGTATTTTCAGCCCTGCTGGGCGTATTTATCCCCAAGTGTTTCCACAACAAGTTATTTCGGGGGCTGCGGGGCCGCTCCTGCTCCCTTCAGACTTTGGCCCTTCGGAGCAGCCCCGTAATAGCTAGTGTGACAATAAGGGCCCCCGGATGGGGAGTGGGGGGAGCAGGGACGGCCTCGGAGCCCTCAAGATGTTGGGGGCTGCGGGTCCAGGGAACATGGGAGCCTCCAGGAGCCTGGGGGTGGGTGGGAAGTGGACTGCAGACCAAGGGAGGGGTGCGGAAAGGCTAAGACCCCTCCCCAGGTGGGGGGAGGTTTAGAATCCCCAGGCCCAGGGAGCTTCAGAGCCCCCAGGAACCTCGGTGGGGTAGGAGGTGTATTTCAGCCCGAGAGGGGTTCAGATCCCTGAACTCAGGGGGTGAGACACTGTTGGGACTGCTGCTGGGGGCAGCGCCGGGCGCGCTGGGTTCGGAGGTGCGTGCTGGCAGGAGGGGGGACCGAAGCCATGAGAGGAGGGGGCGGGGGTGCGATTTCCGAGGTGCGTCCCTCGGGTTCCTTAGTCGTCCCCTTCCTCCTCCTCCTTCCTCCTCCTCCTGGTCCTCCTGCTCCGCCCGAGTCAATCTGTGTCCCGAATCTGTAACTTGTTCTCGCTTCGGAAGTCGCACTCGGGGCCAAGAATAGTTCAGTTTCTTTCGTGTCATTTTCAGAGCCCAGTGTTAACCCATTCTCCTCCCCCCATCAGCCAGTCAAGGGCAAAAAGCCGAGAGGGAGGAAAGTGGGAGGAGAGACCCAGGCCTCCCTAACCTCGGCCTCCGCACCTTGCCCGGAGCCTGCGCCCCGGCACCCTGGTGGCTCCGACACCAAAGGAATTGACGGGGGAGGGAGACCAGTCCGACTCCCGGGGCTCTGGTCTGGGGGGGGGGGGGGGGGGGGGGGGGGGGGGGGGGGGGGGGGGGGGGGCGCGGCGGCGATCAACCCAGAGCGGTCTGTGCTAGCTCGACTCCCTAACGCTCAGGAAGTGAAGTTTGTGGTTTTGGGGGCTGAGCTCGGAAGGAGTTTTGAAAGAAAAAAAAAAAAAAAAGGCAACCAGAGAGAGCGCGGTCTTCCAAAAGCAAGACTCAGTTTGAAAAGGGGCTGGAGAGAGCAGCGGCTCCAGCGTGCGGACCCGTGCATGGTAAGCATCTGCCTTCGGGCTTCTCCGCGCCTCCAGCTGGGGCCCCGGGGCGGCAGCAATGGATGGGGGAAGACATAGGAAGGGAGACAGACAGGGGCCAGGCCGGACTGCAGGTCCCTAGGTTAGTGCCTCATCACGCTATCCATCGGGTGACTAAGTGGGAGCACTCCCCTCCATGCCCTGACCTCCGGGCCGCTGAGAGAGTGTGCGTCTCTGTCGGCCCGCGCCCCGGCGCCTAGGCTCTGGAAGTTTCACAGTGCCCAGCTGCAGGCTTTGCTGCCCAAGTCTTCTTGGGGAGCTCTAGGCATTCTCTTGCCTTGGTGCTCCTGGCTTTTTTGAGCCGCCACACCCCTTTCTCTGCCCCTTTCTCCTGAGATGAAAGAATGGGGAGATATTGGGGGAGCGGGGCAAGCGTACTGGTCGGTTTGTGCTGTTCAGAAATGGTGTGTGTGTGCAGGGGGTACACGGGGAACCCCTTGGGGAAGGAAGCAACTGGAGGAGGAGACCCACTTAAGGAAAAGGAGCCGCCCCCTTCACCTCCTCCGACTCCCAGGTTCCCAGGGCCCGGTGGGCTCAGGCCTCTTGGAGGTGTACGAAAACTTGGCCGCTGGGGGTCTGGAAGAAGGCTCCGAAGCTCTGTATTTTCCTGGGCCCTTTTAGCTGTCTTGTTCTGGGAGACCTGAGTCCCAGGCTGAGTCCTTGCCCTCCCCCGCCCCCCAGCGACGCCAGCTGCACCCTGGAGGCAGCCTTCCCACGAATTGTATCTGTGGCCTTGGCCGGGCTCCGACGGGGCACGGGGATCTTTAAGAGAGGGAGTCCCAAGGAGCAGGGCTCTGCCCCAGGTCCTGAGAAGACCGAACCTTGGCTTCCTCTTCTTCCTTCCTCATCCTGCCAACCCAAGAGAGCACTGGTCCACTGGCCTGGGTGGGCATCTCTGCCAGCGAGTACCGGTGAAAAAGCAAGGCAGAGACAGCATATTTGGGTGACTAGGCCTGGCCTTGGGGGATGCCTGCTAAATGGGTTCAGGTTAGAATGACAGGAATGACTTTTCTTGAAAACATCTCCAGGGTAGCTGAGAACCACCGTTCTGGAATCTGGGGAACTACTGAAGTCGCGAGCATAAGGGGCAGAGGCCCTACACTGCATTCTCTCCCCCTGCTTGCCCCTCACTGCACCTTCTTAAGGATGCTTTGAAGGGCAGGTAGACCGGTATTGTGGGATTCGTCGACTATCTCTCCGCCAGAGGGTGACGGATGCTCAAAGGCGTCTTGCATTGGCTTTTCGTTGTCCTTCGACTTTAATTTTTGTTCGTGGACCTGACTAGCTTGGAGTTGTTTGTGGGGGTATGCAGTAGGATGTCAGTTCTTGAGCGCAGGGTCTTTGCATCTCCAGGGCCTGCCACTCAGGGCTCGGAATAAACGTTCGGTGAATCGAATTGACTTTGCTCATTCTTTCTGGAGGGTCCATCTGCTTCGACGACAAAAGAAACACAAGCAGGGGGAGAAGAGGTGTCATTCCAGAAGGATTCCTGGGAAGAGACATCAATCAGTGCCGGGAGAGTATACGGATGGCCAGGTGTGTGTTTGTGTGAGAGAGAGAGAGACAGACAGACAGACAGACAGGCAGGCAGGCAGGGACAGAGAGAGACAGAGACAGAGAGCTCCTGAATGTGGGGGGGGGGCAGTGAGAGGGGAAATAGCATCTCTCTGAACAACACGCTTATAATCTTAGAAAGTAGTGTTTTGGAAATATTTCCCTCTCCCGCCCCTCTCCCTCTTCCCCCTAGTTATCCTTTCCGCTAAAACCAGTGCACCCGGGTAGCAAGATAGAGTGGGGAGGAGAGGGGGTGAGGGTTAGGGGGAGATAAAATTCTATCTTCCAGCTGACTAGCCCTCGAAATTTACAAACTGTGTTTTCTGTCCTGGAGCGCTTAGGGTAGTTCTTCCCCACATTTCCGAGCCTGGGCTGGGAGGATTGGTATTGTTTAAAAGATGTTGACTGAAGTGGAGGGGGTGAACACAGCCATGAGGGAGAGCTCGAGGACCGGAAAAGGTTCCCCTGTCCCCAATTCAGAGGAGCACCTATCTGCTTGAATGTAGAGGCTTCTCCTCTCCTCTCTTCCTTTTGTTGTCCTAAGACTCTAAGCCTAGGACCTCCCTAGGGCTGGTCGATTGAGTGTCCCCTCGGGTAATGTGGAGAAGAACACTGTTCAGATTCGTTTTAGAGACCTCACCTGTTCAGCCATAGAGGAGATCCTTAAGAAGGTAGAGGAGCTATCTCTGCTCCCTCCCCTCTATGAGAGGCTACTCGTTACCTCCCATCCAGTCCCCAGCTGGACTGTGGGGACAGGGAGGTGATCTGATTGGGTAAATGGGAGACGGCCTTCGAGAGAGTCCTCGCTCCCAGGCCCCTCCAGGCAGCGGCGTCTGTAGCAGCAAGCCGCAGCCCAGAGCTGCCCTCAGGCCCCTCCCGCCTCCCGCCCTCCTCTACCTGCGGTAGCGGCCACAGCCTCCCGGGAGCTCGAATTTCCTTGCTGATGAGTCTGTCCCAATAACTTTCCGTTCTCCCTGGGTTCTGCTTTTCACCTGATCCTAGAGTCTGAGCGTTTCTAGAGTGCGGGGCTGGGCCTCCAAGGCCTCTCCCAGCATTAAACAACTTTTGTTTACAAAAAAAAGGGGGGGGGGGTTGGAGTTATGGGAGAGGAAAATGCCTTTTTTTTTTTTTTTACAGCCGGGGATTGAGGATTTCTTAGGTCAGGTCTCCTGTTTCCTTCAGTCCCCCCTCTCCCTCACACGCCCCTTGGTATTGTTGTGTCTTTGATCTACTCAGCCGCCATTTCCAGAGCTAATTACTGTCCATAGGCTGTGTGTGTATGTGATTTCGTTTAGACATTTGATTTCTGCCCTCGGTGTGTATCTGCCTGTCCCCTGGTCCGTGTGTCTTTGTCTCTGTTTATCTGAGCTCGTCGTCCTTCGCAGACGGGACCCTGACTCGCGGCGATCCCTCGGCCTCCTAGCTGCCCCCTTGCAGAGTAGGCGAGCATCTCAGTTACCGTCCGGTGCCCCTCCCCTCCCCCCTCCCTTGCAGATGACAGATACAGGCCAGGGATTGAGTGACCGAGTTCGGGTAACCGAGTGAATCGAGACTGTCTCACTCTTGGCCCTCCAGGCGGGTTTGATTTCCCCAACGAGGTTGGAGGGGAAGGGGAGGAGTCCCAAAGGCGGGGGACAGATAGAGAGTAGTGTGTGGAAACAGGGAAGGAGAGGCCAGCTGGGGGGGAGGAGGGGAGAGAGGTCTGAGCTATCCTAAGGAGAGGCCCCTTAGCTTCGAGGGCCGTCATTTTATGATTTGGGTCTGTGTCTGCCGAGGCAGCCGGCGGCTCTAGCCACCTGTCTGAGTGCCTGCCACCTGGTGAGCGGAGCAGCGCCACAGAGGCGAAGGCTCCTCCCCATGGCGGCCCCTCCCTGACCCAGGCCCCATCCCTCTCTCCTCTTATCCCCCATCCCCCTAGCCAGGCATCTTTCCCTCAAGCATTGCTTAGTCCCTTCCCAGCCTTAGATCTCTGCACCCACGCTTAGAACCTTCTCTCCCCGAGCAGGTCTCCTCCGAGGTCGCAGCTTGGAAGCCGAGCAGGTGTGACCCTGGAGTGAACTTGGTCCTCGCGGAGCCTGGAAAGAGGAACGGAGAGTTGGTTGCGGTTGGAGGAGCAGGGGCAGCAGGGATAACGGCGAAGTGAGGATGCCTCGGTCCTTCCTTGTGAAGAGCAAGAAGGCTCACAGCTACCACCAGCCGCGATCACCGGATCAGGACTACGGCCTCCGCTTGGAGAATGTGCTGGCGCAGATCTGTGCAGGTGCGGGGCTGAGTCGACGTCGGGTCGCTGAGGGACTGGGTGCCCAGAGGCAGAGTAGATTTGCCCGCTGCCTCGCTCGGTTAATGTGTCGTCGTCCCCCAGTCAGCCCCGACCCTGGCCCTACGTCTCCTGACCGCCCCCGCCTCCCACACCGAGTTCTTTCTGCTTTCTCCAATTCACCTCGGGTCCGGTGCCTCCTTCCTCCTCTTGGAGGCAAATGGAGTAGAACGTAGGCTCCTTTCCTTTTCCCTTCTCGGTCCCCATTCTCCTTTCCTTGAATTTCTCCAGTGCCTTCTGCCACCCCTATTACTGTGTTATTTTTTTTTTGTTTTAAAGATTTAGTTTAGGAGACAAGCTGCCCTCTTCATCGCTCCACCTACCCCACCCGCTTAAGCCTGAGGCTTGGGTACGCTCTGTGGGCACTGTTCCACTTGATGTCCACTCAGCCTACTGGCCCTTGATAGGGAAAAGAGAAACCTGCCCTTATCCCGGGAGTGGAGACAGAAATCTGTCTCCAACCGGCTGTTTCCTGGCCCTTAGAACAGGCGCCCTAATTCTCGAACTCCCAGGGAGTGCCTAAAGGGGGCCCACGTCCTTGCTCTCGGGGCTCTAACCCTGGACTGAGCCATCTCTCTCCCTCTTCTCCCGAGACAGACAGCAACATGCCAGGGGACTCGAGCCCGGGACCTTCTGATCCCGAGCCTCAAGGACCTATCTCCCCAGAGTCCCAACTGACTGAGGCCCCTGACGCAGTCTCAGTGTCTCCAGCCAGCTGTGAGGGCAGCGTCTGCGATAGAAACCCGGAGTTTGAGGATTTCTGGAGGCCCCCATCGCCTTCCGCATCTCCAGGTAGCTAGAGCCATGGGTCTGCAGGGGTAAGGGGAGAGGGAGAGAGGAAAGGAAATTAACCCATTTGGGGCAGATTGGCATAGTGGGGGGGGGGGGGACCTCTGAGCACAAGTGTGTTCAAATCCAGTTTGGGTTAAATCCTGCCACTATGGGCAGGCAGCAGAGTTAAGATCCAGGAAATTTCTTCACAGGTAACAGTGGGAGCAAAGGGTCCCAGTTATTTTCGGTATATTTTCAGTATATTTTTCCCTAGAGGGAGCATTAGAGTTTTCTTGTTGATGAGATAGTTTGTATGTTAGGGAAAATCTCCCTTTTTTCCTCTTTAAGTTGAATTTCTGATCATAATTCTTTAGAATTGGGGGGCGAGATGGCTGGAGAACCCGCTTGCCCTATTCCCACCAAAGGACAACACATGCGGGGACAGGAAGGGTGGAGGCCACTGCTACTGGGGGTGACTTTCCGAGCTCAACTCAGAGTGAAAGGGCGGAGGCAGGCATCGCCAGGGGGGTGTTGTCCCTAACTCAGAATGTCCCAGCAAAGAGGGCACCCCCCAACAATGACTTTTACTTGAAGTGGGCAAGTAGGGGGGAGAAGGCCCTGCTTTGAAGTGTATGACTGCAGTGTGCCTGTGTGTCTGTGGCAGGGAAAGTCACTGAAAAGAGGAGTGGGGAACTGAAGTTAGTGTCTTGTAGTTAAAAAATGGTTTATACACACAACTATTTCAAGCATAGGAAGACTTCATGAAGTGGGGACTAATGGAAAAAAAGGTGTTTCTATAAACCAGTCTCCTTCCTGGCTTTAACAGCCAGGGTTTCTGTACCCCTCCAATGTCTGTCCAGATCTCCTATCTAATCTGAGATTTGATCTTTGACCTGGAAGGGGGGTGGTTTACTCCATGTCCCGCCTGGCTCCCTTAGGCTCACCTTATCTAAACTCACTCCCTTCTCAAGAGCCAATGATCCTGGGGAAGGGTCTGCCTTGAAAAGAATTCCTAACCCCCAGCTTTTTGTTTCGTTTAGTTAGGGAACCAGAGCTGAGACCTAGCTAAAGACTCAGGGTCTCGGTTAGTGGAGTCTGAATGCAATGGGTTTTGTGAAAACTAAGTAACTGCATAGTTGAGGTATAGGGAGAGGAAGAGCTGAGAAAGAACTGGGAGTTTGTTTGGTTGAGGAGGCTGGTTCCTTAGGTATTCCCGGACTGGCAAAATTAGAGCCTGCATTTGAGCTGGATTTTGCCCAGAGACGTAGAATCCCAGGATCTGAGCTGAAAGGGACCTTAAAAGTCATCCAGCCCAACCCTTGTTTTACGACTAAGGAAACTAAGAACCAGAAAGAGAAAGTAACTGTCCTAAGCTATGGTCAGTTAGAGACATGGCCAAGCCTAGAACCCACATCTCCTACTTAGAGTTCTAATACTTTTCCCATTCTACCATCTCAGAAGTACTTTTAACTTTTTTTTTTTTAAAGAGACCTTGAGACTTGGTTCCTAGTTTTTTAAACATGCACACCCCCATGATTTTCTGAGACAGTCTATTATGATTTTGCTAAAACCAAAATGCCAGTGTTCCTATGAATTACAGGTTCTCCATGTTTATCTTGGCATACTTCGTATTCGCTCTCGTAAGGTGCAAACACAGGATCTAAGCCTCCCTAAAACATTTTCTAAATAAACACTGGGCTGATCTTATTAAGTTAAGCGACACTGATTGGACTATAGTTCAACGAAGATGTATGTGCATGCATAATATATTCACAGCATATGTATAAAATGATTAGTTTGAGAGAAATGCAGCTTCTGGAAACAGAAACACTTTCAGAGGATTGGCAATCCGACCCGACCAGGTGGGAATTTAACTATGTCAATTCTGCAGTGCTGCCCTGGATGATCTAGTCTCTCGATGGTTCCCCTCAAAGACTGTCCCACTCCGGTCCCCCAACCCGCCCCCACCCTTACCTCCTCCTGCCCCTAGTTCGGCACTTTTCAGCTTTCCGAAAGATCAAGCCAGTTTTTTGTCTCTACTGCCAGATGCATCCCTGCAGCTTTTTGTAGTCTCCCTTTTCTCCCTCCCGTCCTGCCTCATATCCTGCTAACTCCTTCACCTTCCTCCTCCCCCCACCGAGAGAGAGAAGGAGGAGGAGTCAGCTTGGATGGGTTCTGCCCCTGACCTCCCGAGAGAGGTAGGCGAGCGCTGTCCAGAGGCTGAATTTTCTGACCATGAGACATTTCGTCAGAAATCGCTCCGTGCGGCGTTAGGGTCAATTCAGCAAACGCGGATTGAGCTCCTACTCTGTGCCTCTCGTGAGTCAGAAGAGAGAACTATCCACTCAGGGAATGACACCCCCTGCTCCCCACCATGGGCACAGGGTGGGCCGACGCGCCCTGGGTCACACTAAAGATAAGGCGTAGGGTTAGTGGTGCGTTTCGAGGCTGGCCGGCTTTGGAGATCGGCTTTTACTGTTGACACCGAGCCCCGGGGCCGGGAGTAGTTGTGACTGTGCCCTCGTGTTCCTGCTGCTTCCACAGCGTCCGAGAAGTCCGTGTGCCCCTCCTTGGACGAGGCCCAGCCTTTCCCGGTGCCCTTCAAGCCCTACACGTGGAACAGCCTGTCAGGCTCCGACCTGCGGCATCTGGTGCAGAGCTACCGACCTTGCCACGCCCTGGAGCGAGGAGCTGGGCTGGGCCTCTTCGGCGAACGGAACCCGGAGCCCGGCGCCCCGGCCGCCCTCTACGGCCCGGAACGGGGCTGCGGCGGCGGCGGGGCTTCCGAGGGCAGCGGCAGCGGGGGCAGCGGCGGCGCCGCCCTGGGCCTCTACAGGGACTTCGGTCCTGCTGCGGTGGCGGCGGCAGCCCGCTTATACGAGCGACCGCCGGCGGCGGGCGGGCTCTACCCGGACAAGGGCTCGGGCATCAAGGTGGAGTCCGAGCTGCTCTGTACTCGCCTCTTGCTCAACAACGGTTCCTACAAGTGCATCAAGTGCAGCAAGGTGAGCGGGGCCCGGCGGCCCATCTGGTCCTTCCCGGGCCGCGCGCCCTGCCCTGCCGCCGGCTCAGCCCCTTTGGCGGGTGGGCCCCAGACGCCAGTCCCGGCCTTCTCCGTGCCTCCGCTCGAGTCCCTCCCCTCTAGGCTCCTGAGCTCCTGAGCTCCTTCCCTCCGCCCCTCGGCTCAGCCTCTTCCTTCCGTCTCCCCCTACCCCACCTGCGCCCCAGGTGTTCTCCACTCCCCACGGCCTCGAGGTGCACGTGCGCAGATCCCACAGCGGCACGAGACCTTTCGCCTGCGAGATGTGCGGGAAGACCTTTGGGCATGCGGTGAGCCTGGAGCAGCATAAAGCCGTGCATTCGCAGGTAAGCGCCCGAGCTCGCTCGCAACCCCGCACCCTAACGGGAGAAGGGGCTGGTGTGTTACCCTGAGTAACTGACTCGACCGAATCGCTCTTTAAGAAGTCGGGTTCGTGTCTTCCCGGCCTGGTCCTAAGGGGTTCGACCCGTCCCCCGGCGCTCTGGAATAACTTTTCCCTCCTAGTTTTCTCCAGCAGGATACCATTTTCCTACCTAGCCACCTCTGACATTTATTGGCTGTAGGACCCTAGTCATTTAACTTTTCAGTGCCTGGGGCACAACTCTCTCATTCCAAGAGTTGCCAAGCAGGTAACATGTTTCCGTAGAGGGAGTTTCCGATGTCAGTGAAAACACAGGTCCTCCCCCCCCCCCCCGCAAAAAGGGGGGGGGGTCAAATCCTGCTCATCGCTTTGACTTTTCTTTACTTGGGCTTGAATGTTTCCGCTTTCATTAGCCCTGCCTCTCTAACCTCTCTCTCTCCTTTCTCACAGATGGCCCAGTTTAGTGACCTGGCCCTCATCCCTCTTGTGGATGAAAAAGAAAAGCATCCAGCGCTCTGGCAAAAATCTGTTTGCCCAGTTAAGGATCCGAATGGATGCTCGAGCGCTCTGATTTTGAGGGACACTTAATTTGAAAAGACTTCTCTGTGGGGGGAAAAGGCCATTCAAACAAAGGTCTCGGTCGTGGTTGTTCAAAGGACAGGGACAGAAGGTGAAATCTATAGCTGGAAGGGATTTAAAATCCAATCCCTTCAATTTACAAATGAAGAAACGGTGGCCCTGGGAAGTTTAATGACTAGTCCAAGGTCACACAGGTAGTAAGTGTCAGACCAGAGTATTGAGGAAGGATCCTCTGACTTCAGAAGTGTGTGTTCTTTCCACTAAGTCTTAATTGACTAAGAGGTGGGAAACTTTGAAAAGCCTTCTGGGGAGGTGTGTGTGTGTGTGTAAATGGGTGTAAGAAATTGAGGTGGGGAGATTTTGTGTTCAGAGTGGTTCACAGTTTGAAGTGTTTTTGTAGGGGAAAAAGTGTATAGGGAGAGAAGAAGTGGGGGGAGTGGAAAAGAATGGTAATGTGGGACAAAGAAAATGAGGTGAGTAAGTAGGAAGACAGGGATGCTTGAGGTATGTTGGGAAAGGATGCTATATGGGGGATGTTTTTGTGTATTAAGGAGTAGAGGTACTGAGGAAGTCAGCTACTTATGTTGTATCAGCCTGGGTTAACTTCATAAGGATTCAGCAATTCAGCTGAAGAAATATTTGTTAAGTGCCTTTATGTGGGGGGTGGGCACTGTGCTAGGGACCGAGGATACAGATGATGATGATCTCCTTCATCCCCCTGATTTTAAGGAACCTAAATGACCTCTAAAATCCCTTCCAATTCTAGGATTTTATGTTACCTGCAGCTAACAGCTCTTGGGGAGAGGGAGATGGTACAACAGGTACACAGATAAGAAATAACAAAGTCATTTCAAGATATCCCTTCTTAGCGATCTGGTGGAGGGGGGGATGAGGAGGGTTGACACCTAACCTGAGCTGCCATTGGGTCCTCTCTCTGCAGGAACGAAGCTTTGACTGTAAGATCTGTGGTAAAAGCTTCAAGAGATCCTCTACTCTCTCCACTCATCTGCTTATCCACTCTGACACCCGGCCCTACCCTTGTCAGTATTGTGGGAAGAGGTTCCACCAGAAATCCGACATGAAGAAACACACCTTTATCCACACAGGTAAACACTCGGGGGTACCACAGCCCAAACAGCCCAGCTCAGAGCCACACTCTCCACACAAAAACTCCCTCACTCTTTTCTCCTGTGTCCATTTACACATACGCCTTTCTCTTCAGTCACTCTCCCTTCCCTACGCTTAGGTCCAGCATATCCTGCTCCTTCTCTGTAGTCCACACACTCCGTGTGCCCCTGGCCTTGCAGGGTGTGAGCGCTTACAGTTGGTAGATTTGGAGAAAGTCACCTAAGTAAGGAGACTTACTTAGGCACAGAGTGGTCATGGTTTGGATCTGGGTCCCTTAAGATCCTGGTCATGTTATGTTATAGTGCCTCCATCCCTAGGAAGAATGGACCTTCTATTCTAGTCCCCCCCCCCCCCCCCCCCCCCCCCCCCCCCCCCC